AAAATGATTTTTTTTAAAAAGCAAACTCATTTCTGAGTTGCTAAGTAGCATAGTGCTTGCTTTAACAAATGTTGTCTGAGTGTACTCACAGTGTAGCAAACAGATATGGAGAAATAGTATGAATCTCTTTGCCCACAACACTGTGAGGAAACCGGTTCAGAGAGGTTAAGTTATATGAGGAAGCTTTAAAAAAAAGTGGGACAAACTGGTGTTAAAAGACAGTGGCATTTCTCCCCACCCTTTTTGCAGCCCCCTTGTGCAGGTGGTGGAGAGAGGTAAGATGCGGAGACACAGATAACGGGTAGAGAAGGCTAAGGTAGTAGGTAGGCAGGCATTCATTTGGCTTTTGCGCCCCTGCTCTCACCACCCCTCTGTGTCGTGAGCAGACGTGGAGCTTCCTTTGGGCAGGGGCCAGGTCTTCCCCGGCTTTACCCAGTTTGGGACCTTGCTCGTAAGCGCTTAGAAAATTTGTTGAGCGAGTGAATAATTTGAAGAGGTATAATATCTGCTTTCAAGCCTGTTCAGGTGATAATATTAATAAAATGTGGATCCGAAGCAAAGTAAGGTCTATGCAAAACAGAGCTGAAAGAGTTCTTCCTGCCGGGTAGATCAGGAAAGTCTTTATGGAGAAAACTTCCTAACAGAGAATGGCCAGCAGTAAATAGGAGGTTGGCACTGTGGGCTAGGCATTGGGCTGCTAACCTCAGGGCTAGCAGTTCAAACCCAGCAGCTGCTCTACTGGAGGATGATGAAGCTGTCTTCGCCATTAAACATTTTCAGTCTCAGAAACCCTGGTAAGGTTGTAGGATTTGGCATGGACTTGATAGCAATGTTTTTTGTTTGTTTTGTGTTTTAGATATGAGGACTATCCAGAGAGTGTATGGACTGGTTCAGCAGGCCACAGCATGTGGAAGGGAAGTGTAGTAGGACAGGATTCTAGAGCCCTGGCTGCTGGTCCCTTTCTCCAATACCCTGTGCTTCTGTCGGGCTCTGTAATCTCTTGGAACACACCCTGTGAAGCCCTGGCACTCCGTGACACCACCTCTCTCTTTGCTTCCTCGCTTTCCAAAGCCCTCAGGACCCATCTAGTCTTTCCTGACCAACTCCAGTAAGGATTAATTCCAGCCTCTGGGGATCTCCATCCTGAGCTGTATGCTTCTCTTTCCCAGTGATTTCATTTTGCTTTTTATAATTACTTGTTTTTATAGCTCTGCAGCTGTAAAGTATGCCTTATGGAGGTCAGCACTTGCACTTGGTTATCACTGCATCTATTCCCTGAACCGTAATGTTTTACACAGAGTTAGCATATTACTATGAAGCTCAATGAATACTAGTACAGAAAGTTGTCTTTTTCCTTGATAAAAAGTAAAAGAATGAAGAGGTTTGTTAGATAATACTTTATAGGTGTGGCGTGTATGTAATGACTTAGAATGGAGAGGGGGGCAAAACTCACTGCTGATGCTCATTTAATGAGCACTTCTGTATATTCAAAAGTGATGAACTCATGGGCTTGCAATAAATGCCATTCCCTTTAGTAAGTTGGTTGGAAAGGAACGAATTGGTACTCTTACTAACTAGAATATTTTTAAATGGGTATAGAGATAGATTGTATATGCATTCTAAAAAGTCCGTCCTTTATTCTTAAACATGGATGATTCAGTTGTGTGTTGTAGCCGCACATGTCAAGCGCAATAGAATGGAGTTGGTAAAAACTGTGTGTTGACTGCAGCCAATTAAGCCGACCGTCCTCCTCCTTGTGGGGGCCGGTGTGCAATGGCTGCAAACAGCAAGCCTCCTCGGTAGTGTATGCAGCCTATTGGTATGTATAGGCTGCCCTAAGGGACCTTGGAGACAACCTTTTACTGCTTTTCAATGCCTCTGGAAAAATAAAAAAAATAAAAAACAAACAAACAAACAAAAAAACTGTGTGTTGGTCTTGCCACACACTATTTGGTTAATTACAGGCAAATTATTTAAACACTGGGTCTTAGTTTCCCTGTCTGTAAAATGGAACAGAGTAAGAACACCCTTGGGCCACACACAGTGGTGCAAATAAGTTCTAACAATTTTTTTTTTAACTTGACGTTGATTGTGAGCTTGGTAAGGAGCCACCATAACACTAGGTACTTTAGGTTAATAATCCCAGAACTTTCTTTTCACTAAAGTGAAGATACTGTGTCTCATTATCACTGATTTGTTCTTTTAAATACAAATGTAGGGAACTTAAGCGAGTGGGCTATGTGTTGGGCTGCTGACTGTAAGGTGAGCCAGCTGTTGGAACCCACCAGCTGCTCCGAGGCATAAAGGTGAGGTTTTCTGCTCCTGTGAAGAATCACAGCCTCAGAAAACCAAGGCAGAGTTGCTGTGGGGTCAGAATGGACCCCATAGCTGTAGGGGTGCGCTTCTGTTTTTGTTTGGCTTTGGTATGGAACTTACTTGAATATATGGTGTTCTTTTGTTTGTTTCAAAATCCTGATAGGCAAAACTAGCTGATGAACTTGAGACTGTTCAGATGAACAAGAGCCATCAAATATGGAGGAGAGTATTCCTGGTAATAAACATAGATTAAGCAAGTCAAATAAAACAGAAGCAAGATATCAGTTTATCCTTGATACATTCCCCTTTTAAAGTAAATTTATGTAAGCCAGAATTCCAGAGAAATATGTATACTCATGTTATTCTTGACAGTATAGATACACATTGCCCATTTGGAGAATAATTTGTAAATATTTATTAGGAGCCATGTTAGTGTTTATTGTCTTGACAGAATAATTCCTCTCTTGGAAAATCTATCTTAAGAAAATAACTCTCAGACAAAAAGTGTGCTTAGAAATGTGTGTAACATTTTATTTGATGAAAAGAAACAGCTAGCCTACAGAATAAATGGTAGTACAGTAATATTAAGGATTATACACAGCTGTTAGAAATATGTGCTTTAATAATAGAAAGGGCTGTTACAGCGAGGATAATCATTATAGGTTGGACTGCTGTGAGGTCAGTAGTTTAAGCCTGCTGGCTGCTCCCAGGGAGAAAGATGAGGCTGTCTCCTGTACAGTTGGGCAGTCTGGACCCCAGGGAACAGTTCTGCTGTGCCCTGTGTGGTCGCTGTGCATCGAATGGCACTCCATGGTGGTTGGGTTTGGCAGCAGTATATGAGAAGGCATATGAAACAATATTGAATGAAAAGTGAACATGATGTATTAATTATAGTTTTTATTTAAACATTTGTGTATGAAGGGATGTTTGCCGGGGGGGTACAAATTAATTGTGTTAACAAAGGATTATGAGAGACTTCTTTTTCCCTATTGAAGATAGTTTTAATGCTATAAAGTTATTTCAGACCTGATTAAAAAGAAATCCTATGTGCTTTTGATAGGCGAAAATCTTGAGGATACTCGTCATGCCCTTGCTAGCTGAGAACAGGGTAGTTTTCATTAAAGTTAGCATGACAGGAGAGATAAGTTAGTATGATAGGAGCACATGGAATTTAGTAGGACACGAGAGCGTAGACAATTTAATCAAAAGATCGTGGAATTCTCCCACGCATTTCTAAAGCTCCCTTCTTTGTGTGTGCATAAGAACTAAAGAGGACTTTAAAGACAAATTAGATTCTAAAGGGTAGGGCTATTTGTTGTTTCAGGATTTTTTTCCTCGGTTCGTGTTTCCCCCCCTATTTTGTTGGGAATTTTTTATTTCCCATCTTTTCCCCTATTTTTATTTATTTTGTTTTTGTTGAGGATATACACAACCAAACGCACACCCGTCAAGCAGTTTCTACAGGAGCAGTTGAGCAGTACAGTTGCACAGTCAGTCGCCCCTTCCTTGCCTGCACTGGTGCTCCCCACTGATGTAAACTCACTGCCTCCCCAGGTCCGCAGTGAGTCTTTGATGCTGCTGTCCATCTGAGCCCAGGCACATAGTTCTTGAAGAGAATCATGCTTAAGACAGGCCTTTTTTATTGGTTAAGTTAAACTATTGCTTCGTTTTAAGATAACTCCAGGGGATATTTTTGGCTGAAGGTTCAAAGATTATAGCGTGGCATTAGTTTCTGGGGCAGACTACTTGTTTTTAATACGACTTCTCTTTATTTTAGAATTGATAGATGTCACATGCACCCTGCTGCTTCTAAACCCAGACTTTACCACTGCATGGAACGTGAGGTATGTCATTCTCATCAGTGTGAGATGCATTTGAAACAAACTCCTCAAGACACATGAAGACATGCTTTGCCCCTTTTGCATTTATGTGTCTGTTGGCCATCAAATTCCTTCCTGAAATGTAACATGTCTTGTTGAATTAGTCTACTGTCTGGGCTGCGAGCAAGGTCAGCAGATCAAAACCACCAGCTGCTCCGTGAGAGAAAATCCATTCAGTCTACTCCGGTAAAGAGTTACAGTCTCAGAAACCCACGGGGAACGTTTCCACCCTGCGCTATAGGGTTGCTATGAGTTGGAATTGGCTCAATGGCAATTGAGCTTGATATTTGGTTGACTACATAAGGGTTTGCTTGTGGTGTAATGGGCCACACACTTTGCTTCTAATGACAAGGTCAGCAGTTCAAACCCACTAGCCAGTCTGTGGGAGAAAGATGAGACTGTTTATTCCCGTAAAGATTTACAGTTTCGGAAGAAACCCAAAGGAGGAGTTTTACCCTGTCCTAAAGCATTGTTGTAAGTTATAATTGACCTGATGGTAGTGAACTTAACTGATAAGATTAGTCTGATATGTGCTTTTTAGGGGGAGGAGGGCAGCCAGCACAATTGGTTGCTGGGTCCAGGTGTTGGGCGGTGTATTTGAGAAGCACTGCGTGGCAGTAGGGAGTGTATTAGGACGAGGACTCAAGGCCCAAAGACTTCCCTCTGCACGCAGTCTCCCTGACCCTGACTGCTGGGGGACAAACCGCTCAACATATCCGAGACCGCTCTTTTGGCTAGGGATTACATCCTTTTAGAATTCTGGAAGTATTTTGATTCTGGTTTTATAGCTTTCATTTGTAAAATACTTTAGAAATATTAAAATTCATACCAGGTTCATGTTGATCATTGAAGTATTGTTAGCTAAACAATATCATAATGTAGGTTTAAACCAATTGGTGTACCTTTGGACTAACAACACAAATTCTGAGAGGAAAGCTGTTTATAAATTATAAGTAAATAAAAATGAGGTCTCATTGAATATCCTGAATGGATGTATATTTCCCTCTAGGAAAGAACCATAAATGATGTTCTTTATCTTTAAAGATGTCTTAAATCATATTTAGTTTGTGTTCAGACAACGTTGCATTATGAGTTAGTGATTAATAATAACTACTGGGTTTTATATGTGGCACCATGTTCTTTTTTTAATGTTAGATAAACTATGGGGTGTTTTTTTTTCAAATGTCCTTTGAATAATTAGTGATCAGATCCTTAGAGTAGAAAGTAAGATAAGTACAAAATGAGGTGTAAGACTTGAAGCTTTTACTTGATTTGAGAGTTTCTGTTTTCTTTTATGGAAAGCACAGAGGTTAGACTGATGCGTCGTGAGGGGCTGCTTTAAGGAGCCCTAGTGATGTGTCATGAGTTCTGTGTTGCCATGTTAACTGCAGGGTCAGCAGTTCAAACCCAGTAGCTGTTGCACAGGAGAAAGAGAAGGTTTTCTAAAGATTTACAGCCTCCGAAATTCTAAGGTGCTGTTCTACCCTGCCCTATATGGCAGTGGGCTTGTTTTTGCTTTCATTCTGAACTGTGGGCCAAAGACCATAGTACAACTTTGTTTTTTCTGTAACCCTCTAGCATAATACTAGGTAGTATTGTCTTTTGAAACTTACACTCCAGTAGAATAGAGGTACTAGGGACATAAGTAAAATAGTAGATCAAGGGGCAGTAAATCAGAAAACAGAAGGAAGGGAAATGGGGACAGGCCGGAAGAGGAGGGAAAGTGGTGTCGTGGTTTTAAATAGAGAACGTTGAGTTAGGACCAGCCTGTGAATTTAGGGCTAAGAGTAATCCATCAGAGGGAATAACAAGTGGAAAAGCCCTTAGACAAGAGCTTCCTAAAGGGTTCTGAGTGTCAGGAAGCCAGTGTAACTGCTGGAGTGTGAACACTTGAAAGAGTTCTAGGACATGGAAAGCTCGGGCTTTGTGTAGCTACATGGGCCATTGTAGGAAGTTGGCCTTTCACTGTGGGTGATACAGAAAGTTGTTAACTGTTTTCAAGTGGGTCTCTTTGCTTAGAAGGAACAGTATCGTCCTTGTATTTTAGACCTCTGGTTCCTGTGTAGAAAGTAGACTCTCTGGAAGCGAGTACCTGCAGACACTTAGGTACCTGCAGACAGACACTTAGGTACCTGCAGACACTTAGCCGGTGACTTGAAGTAGAGTCAGCGTGGGAGTGGTGCCAAGTGGTCAGATTCTCAGTAAGCGCACAGAGGATGAATTGGAAGTCCAGCCTGACTCTGGGTTTTGGCCTGTGCTCCGGGGAGGAGGATGTTGCCACTCACTGAAATGGGAACGTCTGGAAGAGAAACAGGTTTAGGTGGTGGAAAGGGCAGAGGCCCTGGTTGAAGGTCACAAGTGCACCTTGAGACATGTTAGACTTTTGTCCCAAGTAGTTGTACAAGAACCTGAAGTTTAGGGAAGAGGTCTCAGCCCGATACATAAATTTGATACTCATTAGCCTTCAAAATGAGACAAAACAAAAAACACTGCCATCAAATTGATTCCGAATTCCTTCTCAGAATAGTTTTTGAGGCTGTAAATCTTTAAGGGAGCAGACAGCCTCAGCTTTCACCCCTGCGGTGGCTAGTGGATTTGAACCAGCAACTGCGCCTAGCCCACAGCACCACCAGGGCACCTTTCATCCCCTGAAGGCCTTCTTAAAGCACAGATTGCTGGGCTCCTCTCCAGAGTCTGTGATTCCGCCCCTCTGGTGAGCCGAGGGATCTGAGCTGGTACATGCTCTGTGTGAAGCTGATGTTGCTACTTAGGGGGTCCCACTCTGGCAAGCATTGCTGTACAAAGTAGTTGACGTTACAAAAAGCAGTTTTGTTCCTCCTTTACCTCAGAGGTATTTCAATTGACTGTATCAACAAGATGTTCCAGATTTAAAGAGCAAAGGACCTAAAACTTCAAATGCAATTTACGTTTGCACAGAGGTTTTTCATTGTTGCTGTTTTTTAATGGCAAATGGGTTTCTTGTCCATTGAAAGGTAAACAGTCCGTTCATTCATTCATTAAAGCTGCCATAAACCTTCCGAATGTCACTTTCATTTCTATTTTACGTTGATGATATCCACTGCGGTTGATCCCTACTCCATCAGCCCTGTAAGAGAGCACAGAGCTGCCCCAGGGGCTTCCCAGGCGGTCTGTATTTAGGGCACAGACTGCCATGTCTTTCTCCCGTGGAGCAGTTGGTGGGGTTGAGCCACTGGCCTATCGGTTAGCAACTGAGAGCTTTATTGCATCAGCAGGGCTCCTACAAGGGACGCTATCAATCTACAAATAACTATAAAATGCAAGCCCATTTCTGCATTAAAAAGTAAATTATTTTCCTTATCAAGTGAAAACTGAAAAAGACAGTACGTTGTTGTTGAAAAGGCAATGTATCACAGTATTTAGAAACTAATGACTCACAGTGACCACATGTAGGGTTTCTGGGGTCATAAATCTTTCCCGAAGCAGACAGCCTCATCTTTCTCCAGAGGAGTGGCTGGTGGGTTTTCAACAGCCAACTTTGGGG